ACAGAATTCCGCTACCTCTTTCGCAGACTGCTTGTAACAGAGCGCTCTCATCCTCCTTTTCTTCGCTAGACTAAACAGGCAGAAACAGCTGGAGGGGAGGGAGGTCACGTGATGGACTGGAACATTCTGGAATTCTAGGATGCTGAAGGATGGGAAAAAACGGAAAGGGGGGGNGGGGGGGGGGGGGGGTAGGAAAAGAGGCCGCTGAAACGAGTGATGAGTAATAAGCATGGCTCAGTATCTCCCCCTTCACAGTAGAACACTGTTCTAGGGCATTGCGAAACGTGCGCGTCTTAATCCCGAGTTCACGAGCTTTCCCCATCACTGTCTAGCCACCGAATAGTTGCCAGAGTCGCCCTCACTATGCCCACATATCACTCCCGGGCTCCAATCAGCCCCTAGGGAGTTCTAGGTCCCTACACAACTCACCGCACAGCAGTCCGAAGCGATACTCGCGGCTGCCCAATTAACTAGAATTGCGGTCCACCATGCAGTGATAGTGCCCATCATAGGCCTATCTTGGGGCCGCTCGACAAACCAGTGTAAACCACTCCCAGCACTGTCCGTAATAGGACCCATCCGTACCAGTGGCCGGACAACCTTAGAATATAAGTCCTTACAGAAAGAGTCCTTCCTTTGGTATTCTCGGATTGATTGGAACGCCTCGGGCAGGTGCTACAAGACTAACCCCGTAAAAGTAGCGTCGGCTGAAGGAGCCACCACTTTAGTTTTCCCACCGACGTGGCAGACCTTGAACTTGAACGGCGCGAGACGCAGGATCCACCGCCCTACACGACCCAATTCCTTGACATGCCGTAGCAGCCAGGCCAGGGCTTGGTTGTCCGTTTGGAGAAAAAACTCCTTATGTTCCAAATAGCTCCGGTATTTTTCACGGCCGCAGACCATAGCGAGGCACTCTTTCTCGTGGATGGAGTATCTCTTTTCAGCAGGAGAGAGCAAACGGCTGCTGTAGGCGATCGGAGCTAATTCCTCCCCTTGCCTCTGATTAAGGACCGCCGAGACAGTGACGTCACTGGCGTCGCAGACAAGAGTAAGTTCCCTAGAAAAGTCAGGGATCTGCAATATGGGGGGCGTTTTCAAGGCTTCCTTAAGCCGTTCGAAAACCGACTGTCGCGTCTCGCCCCGGCGCTCTTGCGCTTCAGCGCGTGGAGGGGTTCAGCAATCTATGAGAATGTTTAATGAAGCGTCCATAGAACCCCGCCATTGTCAGAAATCTCCGAACCCTCTTAAGGTTCCTGGGAGTTGGAAAGCATCGAATATCTTCCGCCCACTCAGGCAAAATCTTTACTCCCTGACTCGACACCAAGTGCCCCAGAAAGGAAATCTCCACGGGCCATCCGGAGATTTTCGGGGTTCAAGGTAAACCTGGCCCTTTCCAACCTCTTGAAAACTTCTGCCAAGTGCCCGAGGTGCTCAGTGCAGACCTAGAATATACCACCAGGTCGTCCATAAAGTTGCACACAGCTTTCTGTTTGAGGTCCCCAAACAGTGTGTCGACCACCCTCGATAGCACTTGACACCCCACGCTTATCCCCATCAGTAGCTTATTGAACTCAGAGACCGCGAAAGGGGTACAAAAGGCAGTAGCCCTCCGGCTCTTATCTGACAGAGTGATCTGGTAGTATGCTGAGTTTAAGTCGAGCACCGAAAACGCTTTCGCGTTATGAAAATCAACGAAGGCGTTTATTGTTGTATCAATCCCAGTTCACAAGGTAGTGACATATTCCTTTTACTGGTTATCTGGAGTGTTTGATTATCCAGGGATATTTGTTTCCCATCCACCCTGTATAATTGGGAGTGCACTGTAATTTCCTTTTTCATGCATTTATATCAAAGGCAGCCTGACAGGGGTTTTCCTATTTCTTCCACATTTTCTGGTATGTGTAGAAAATCTCACAGAAAATCAAAACAATGTGCTTTTGATTTAGTTTTTGCTTCTTCCAAGCAACATTGAGGATTGATGGATGAACGATTTCACACACACATACTAAATTCATCTAGCTTCTGCTGTAATAGACATTTATGTGAGGGAGGATGATAGTGCTGCTGGTGGATGCTGGAAGAAAATGCATGCACTGCAAATTTGTTTTTGAATAACTTTATAAAAACGGCGAATTTTCTTTGAAAATTTTGCCAGTTTGATGAGACTTCCAGATACTGGATAACTGAGAGTTTACAGTACCTTTAAATAGGCCACAACCACTTTCAGATCCCTCCAAAATTTCCACTCAGGAGCTTCGTAGTAATTCACGTTTGATAGTACATAATCTCTTCAGCTGATATTATCATTAAATAACCAGTGGAATAACAGTTCATTTCAGTTTAATGTTTGAGCATATGATGCATTCATAAGTTATAAAGTGTATGCATTTGTCAAGTTTATAAATATTTAAAGCTCATGCGGGTGAATGTTATACTTTTATGATTTGTTGCTGTTTGAGCCATGCTTTTGGAAATTATTTTTGTAGAGTACATTTAGAACAACAGAGAAATAGTTTCCTTGTGTTAAAAGAGAGACAGGTAAGGTCTCCTTAAACCCTTGTACTCTTCTTGTGGTGGTATGCTGTGTAGCCTAGTGACCATATTTAAATTATCATAATGCGAAGATACTTAAAAAAGATCAGTAATTTTGAGCCATTGTGTAGTGATTTGCTTCCTCACGGTGCCCTCATTTCAGGCCTGGTGGTTAATGTCTGAGTTCTTATGCGACGTAATATGCTCTGGTACATGAAACATAACAACATATTGATATTTGTATATGATTGATGGGCTGCATGCTGGACGGCCGGGGTTCGATCCCCAACGGCAAGAGACTTTTCACTACTCCATAGCATCCAGAACGGTTCTGTCGCACACCCATCCTACTATCCAATGGATATCAGGGGCTCTTTTTCCAGGGTTAAAGCTGCCATGGCATGAAGCAGACCATTCACCTCCATCTAGTGCCGAGGTCAAGAATGGTGGAGCTAAACCCCCACTTCCACATATGTTTTCGTTTGTTAGTGCTTAAATATGCACAAGGCTAACTTTGCCCGTTTCTTACCACATATGTAAGAAACTGGTTCGAATTTGTTGTAAAGTTTCGTTGTGTGGTAAGTAAAGAGGATGGAATAAGATTTCATTTTTTTCTTTGGCCTGTGATATTTAAGGACTTTTTAATTAGCTGCATAGAAAAAAGGTGTATTTTCTTGTGAGGTTTGAGGTTCCTGCAACAGTGACTATGAAGAATGATGTTCTCTGGGATGTGACACTGTATAGTGTTGTGGAAGTTCACCACAATTTTAGAGGAGTATACTACTGTGCGTTCAACTATCGAGGAAACCGGGGAGCGCCGTGGGTCGGATACAACATGTCTCACAGATTGCTTCTGTAACTGCTGATAGCGGAACGAGTCATCATCGCGCACTCTCGCTAGCTTAGAACGGATGGATCTTTCCTCCGCGACTACTGTGCCCTTCCCCGTTAGCGAGAGTGCAGTCATATCGCTGATTCCCTCACATCAGCTTCTGTACATGGACACATTTATAGGAATACTGTAAAAAAGATAACAGACTTACCGTGCTTTATAACGGGTGTTGGAAGTGACCCCCTTCTGCTTGCAAACATGCCTCGCATCGCATAAATAAATTATACGACACTTTCTGAAATAGGTCCACGGCAATTGAACTAATTACGCGTGTTATTTCGTTATGCTGAGCTTCAGTGGTGCGAGGATTGTTCTTGTAGACTTTTCCTTTTAGTTTTCCCAAAGATTAAAATCGCAAAACTGAGATCTGGGAGGCCACAGTCCCCTGCTAATTACTTTGTCTTCAAACACTTCCCGTATTGCGACAGTGGATGCATTAGCCATATGTGCTGTAGCGTTGTCTTGCTGAAAATACCCATATTGTCTTTCTTCAGCAGTCAGCTGATTGAAGAACAGATTCAGTATATCATTAATGTATTGGTCAAAGTTCACGGTTTCATGAAAAAACAAGGGGTTTCGGTGCGGACTTACAGCACACCACATCCCACCTTTTCACTATGTAATGGCACTTGCTGTATAGCGTGAGGATTTTACACGCGTAATTAGTTCAATTTCACTGGACCAGCTTCAGAAAGTGTCGCATAATTTATTTATGCGACGCGAGGCATGTTTGCAAGCAGAAGGAGGTCACTTCCAACACCTGTTATAAAGCACAATAAGTTTGTTATATTTCTACAGCATTCCTATAAATGTGTGCATGTACAGAAACTGATGCGAGGGAATCAGCGACACGACTGCACCCTCGCTAGTGGGGAACGGCACAGTAGTCGCGGAGAAACGACCCATCCGCTCTACGTTGGCGAGAGTGTGCACGTTTCTCAGCGCTGATAACTCATTCTGCTGTCGGCAGTTACAGCAGCAATCCGTGAGGAATGTATCCGACTCACGCTGCTCCCTCGATTTCCTCAATGATTGAATGCCCGGTACTTCCATTTTCAATGTTAAAATGTTAACCAGCAAGGAGATGTTCCTCTGAACTTTGTTAAACTACCACCAGACTACATGGTGTCACATTCCATAAGGTAATGATCTTTTGTATTTTTTTGCTTTTATTGTAATCTGTTCATATTGATAATTTTGGGTAGATGGTTTCTTATTTTATTCTTGTTCAGCCATTAATTTCTCTTGGGAACAATTTAAAAAGGAAGTATCCAAGTAATAACTGCATGAAATATGAGTACTGTCTGTTAAAAGTTTTTTTCTGGCACCAAATTATCGTAAAGTTTTAACATTTCTTTTTTGCATGATGTGATATTTTGGTGAAGGATTTACTGCTTATTTCATTTCTGGTACTCTGATAGACCTTATCACTGTTTATATCTCTGGTGGATGTCTAAATATATCTTGTAGATGGAGGATTGGTTCTATTGCATCTTGGCTAGTCAGTTGGATTTCTTCTGTTTTTGCATTGGGCCTGTGCTTTTCAGTAGTTGTGTGTGCTCTTGTGTTCTAGGTGCCTAAGCAGCATCTTCTCATTAACCAATCTCTTGGCTCCTACCGAGGTGGGTCGCTGCCCAATGTGAACCACATAGGCAGTAACTCAGTAGATTTGAAGGTAGGGGTAAATGGTGTGCTCTTATTTGCCTGCTATTTGCCCGTATTAGGTTTGCATGTCCACTTTAAAAGCTGATGTATGATAAAAGGCCACTGTTGTCAGCTTGATTGGTTTGTGAAGATTAAAGTTGTGCCTGCTTCTTAATTAAAAACGTAACCACCAAGACTCTTAAAATTACAAATATGTAATTCAAAAGTATCGAACAGTTCAACTTCATTGACAACTGGAGAAGTGTACGAGTGTTAGGTCAATATTATAGAGGAAACTCAGGCATAATGCATGTAATTCCTGTATTCCAAAATTTCCATTTGAACGAGATGGTTTGGATACTTCAGTGTACATACTCCATGTTGTCTTGTTGCACAATGCAGGTCAGTAAGCTGTCATTTTTTTTTAATTTTATTTTCTTAATATAATTCTGGTATATTACCAGTGCTCTATTTCAGCTGATATGCATACTGGCAGACTTGTCAAAAATCTCTGATTGGGCACTGCTTTGAACTTGAGGCTAAAATTAAGTGTAAGAATACTGGCAAACACATTTTCTAGAAGAAAACTGTGTGTTTTAAGCAGTATGTTATGTGTGTACCTGTTTACATGCCATGAATAAGGGAGCTAATAATGAGTTCATTTACTTTTTTTTTTTTCATTTCTGCTCAAGCGGTAGCCTAGTTGGTTGAGGTACTGTGCTACAAGACTGAAGGTCACGGGATCCAATCCCGAAGAGGTCATTGGATTTGTCAGTTGACCTAAACCTTTCAGCCGCACTATGGTCCTGGGGTCCACTCAACCTGTAACAGAAATGAGTACCAGGAATTTCCTGTGGGGCGGGGGATAAATGGGCGGCTGGTGCGTAAGGCTGACAACCTTACCGCCATCTATGAGCCGGCTGTCTAGAAGATGTGGGAGCCTCGACATCTCACACTCCTATGGGCCTTCACGCCCTGCTACAGGGACACCTTTACCTTTACTAACTTATTGAGAAACTTCTTTTACTTATTGATAATTCAAAATAATTATTTATCCCTGTAACAAAGGAAGTTAGAAGCTGTAATATCCTAACATGCTGTATGTACTAAATATTTTGGAATGCAAAATGCAGTGCTAAGGCATAGTTTGTTTTGTGGTTAAAATATGCACTGAGTTAGCAGCAGCTGGTTTGAGATAGTTAAGTGTCAGTTTTTTGTGCTCTAGGCGTTCAGGCAGCTTTGTTTTTATGTGTTCCTTGCATGCAGTGCATGAAATGAACGCATAATGGGGAAATCATGTCTGTATGTTTCAACTTAATGTATTTCAGTGAACTTTTATATTCCGGTATCTGTACGTAAAGCTCTGTCCTTGACCTTCTAGTTTCCATCCACCAAAGTCCTCTTTCCCGACCTTTCTTTTGTCACTTTATTAAGTCCTGTCCACAATATTCTGCCCACCCCTTCACTGTGTTTCAGTGTTCATACAAACTTCTGAAGTAGTAATAACATGAATGCTGTGTTATTGTTTTTATTGCTGTCCCCGGATGTGATCTAAATTGACCTTTATGGCTGCTGCTCACATAGGAATGGGCATGGAATCTAGTCCTCACGTGGGGGCACCCATATGCCTGATTCTGTCTCCTCTATCCCCCTAAAACAATATGATGTTCACAAGAATGATATAACGCTATGTAATGAACGATGTTTTGGAGGAACATACACCTCCATCTTCAATGTTAAAAGAGTAGGCAAAGCACAAAATAGATGGCATACAGATCTGTGCTTGCTGCCTGCTTCTTGTTGATTTCCTGCTTGATTTACACTTTGGGAATTTAAAAGCAGAATGATTTTGATCATGAAAATTATGTAAATAATATTTGAAAATACAGTTATTATTTCACAGAAAACACCGTGTTTCTATTACAAACATGAGCCAATTAATGCTGTTTAGGAAGATAATCCCTTTTTATTCTGAGAATCATACAAACCACAGAAATGTACGCAGGTGTTACATAATGTAACCACTGTGCTTTAGTAAGATTAAGGACATTCTAGTTGAAATCTGAAATAATATAGTGATTAGGCAAGATTATTTTGTTTTGAAGTGTTCTAATAAGCTTTTGAATCCTAACATGTGAAATTTGGTATATTGGATGTTTTGTTACTAGAAATTATGTGTGAAGTATTTTTGTGCATTAGCAAAATACCGCCAAGGATATACTGTAATGCAGATCATTTAGGCTACATTTTAAAACATGCAGAAAGGAACTTTAATCTGCTCCATTTCAGTGATGTAGAGATTTGTTGTAGAAATATTTACCTGTCTTTGAGACCATCATGAATAGTGAGTAAACTTTATAGAATGGAAGTCACGTTATGTTACTGCTGGTCTGTGCAAGTGGAAGATGCTGCTTCATATTTGCCACCCATTATTTGAACATTGATATGTTTCCATCAGTTAGTCATCATTGGAAAGTCATTAGATTCTATTTTCAACATACTTCTGGTATTCATAAGTCGGTGGGGAATTCAAACATAGAAGGTATTATTTCTTGCAGCAGATGGTGGAGGACATTTATAAAGTGTCACTGAAACTCTGTGTATATATTGTATTATTAAATTGTATTAGTATGGTACTTTTATTGCGAATTCCATTTTTCTTGGGTTTAGAATGAGTACTTCTCTTTAACTCCATTTTGCTATACTGAGCTGTTGTCACTTTTCAGAATGTTGATTGCTAAACGTACTGCAGCTTCTGTGAGCCCACCAAATATGCCCACAGTACTTTTGCTAATAATGGAAGTACTATAAGTGCTTCATTTTTGTCAAGAACTCCAGAACACTTGTAATTTCTTGATATACTCCTAGGAATGTTGTATCAGCGGTACTTGTTTGCCATTTGTAAAAGCCTCTTTCAGTTGCTCTCATTTGCATTGAGGTTGTTTAGTTCTTCTCAACCATAACCATCTCGAAGAAATATAATAATGTCATGCGTTAGTGACTAGACACGGGATTTGGATTTATTGAGCACTTGAAATTCGTGACTTCAAGTAATTATAACGCTCACACTGATTCGCACACATTGCTTCTGTCTGCATTGCACACCAAGTCTTCAGTGCCTTCACTAGCCCTTTTCTGGTAACAGTTCCTCTGCTTCCGTGTTCGCATATGCTCATAATCAACTCATGGCCGAAACTAGCTCCACTGCCTTTAGCTCCACACTGTCCACTGCTGGCTGCTGGCTATTACACTACAGCCTCGGCATGGGGCATGTAGAAAACACCGCTTTCAGCAGTTCTTGTATTGTTGCGTGCACATCTGTTGCTTCAGAAATGTGTTTATGGGGCCGTTACCACGTAATGGACAATGCAAACATATCGCATTGCTCCCTCCTTAAGGCTCCTTTTCCCATGTAACCCATAGGCATATTGCCATTTCTTCTTCCAGTTTGTGGGAACAACTTTCAAAGGAGGTCGGTGTCCCTACTATGCCCACACGTAACAAACAGTGCCTGTCTACCACATTACATTGTCTCACATCCCAGAAGACCATAATCCTAGATGTCAAGAGGTTTGGAATATTTACTATAAGTCGTTAGAAATCAATACATACTATCGTGTGTAAGGAGTGTAAGAAAATTTCTGAACTTATGCGTTACTTTACTTTTGTTAGCTTTCTTTGAACTTGAAAATGAACATGTATTTAAACAACATTTATTAGTTGTGGTCTGTTGGGGATTTATTAGCACAGAATGTTACGGAATATTAGAATGAACTGTGCCTCGATTGAAGCATATTTGTTCTGAGGTATTTAATATTTTGAGAGGACAAAGTATGATGTGGGGGTGGGGGCAGGAAGAAACAAGTTTTTCTGTCATTAGAATAGTTGTCTTTGTGTGTCTCTAAAAGTGCTTGCCAGGTTAAGAACATTTTCCCTTGCAGCTATTATGTTTTTATAGAACTTGTTGCTCTGAGACATTGGCATTGTGTAGTAGCTAAGATTAGACAAGATGGGAAGACAGTTGATTTGTATGTATTATGTTTTGTAACCTAATGAAGAGGATGGCTGCAGATGCATTAGATAACCTGTCACTGACAGCTGGCAAAGGGTGGTGCTCTAGCCTGAGGGTTGGGTATGGAACTAAGGGACCCTTGTGGTGAAAAAGAATTAGTTGTGACATACACAGGGAAGATATTACTTGGACATAAATTCTTACCTTTTCTGTCTGTTTTCTGTTTTATACTGTAGATTTAATAGTGAACAGCTGAAGCTATTATGAAAGAACCTCTGAACTTTTTCCAGGATATTTGGTAGCCATAGCTGTTAAAGCAATGAACAAATATTGCAGTGGAGTTTTGGATGCAATTAGAATCCTCTTTCTTAGTCTGTTTTTAATTACATCTGTAGTTTAGTTTAGGGGTTATTCCTTTTTTAAGTCTTAGGTACTGTGTACTGTGATGTTGACAAGGAAAGTACCCATATCCCAGGCAGAGAATGAGTACCTTTGCTTGTAATTAGTATTTTACTTCCCATTTGAGATTCAATACTACTTGATACTTTTGGACTGATGTTTCATTGCGAATAACTGAGCTAAATATACTGGCCTTAATTCTGCCAAGTTTGTAAAAGTTATTTGTTCTTTGCGCAGAATGAGCAAATACCATCGCTTTAAAATATCTTTGAGTGTACATCATATCTTGGGTAGGTACCCTTACAGAAGAAAAGTCCCGTGTGTTCAACAAGATGTTGATATGTTGATTTTGATTTGCATTTTATGTTGAAAATAGAATATGATGACTGTTTAGAGATGATGTTGGTGCAGCCTCTGAGAAAGTATAGACAGGCAGTAGAAGAAAGATGATCCATTCTTCATATTGTATCTTCTCGCTGAACAGATTTTGCTTACATTTGGTTTTATGGCACTAAGATAAGTGTAGAGATTTGTGAGTGCTGTTGATATGCTAACATAATATCGAACTTCATCTAGTAGGGCCAACAGAATAGGTTTCATGTCGTGACTTGATGATATAA